TATATATCTTATATATATTATTTTCTTCAGATATATTTTATTTAGATTTGTCCTACCGTGTTTCTTTTCATGTATATTTTATTGTACTGTAATATGTACTTTATTTTATTATATATATTAAATTTTCTTTTTCGAATTGATTTTAAATCTGTATTTTTCCCGCATCACATTTAATTACTCCTACAGCTTTGTATCTGGTATTATTACATAATTTAGCAAAACAAGAACGAACCATTTTTTATTTAGCAGTACTTCTGGATTACTTCAATTATTTATTCGGAGTTATTTGTACCGATTCTTACTTAAAATGCAGCTAGTTAGTTCTTGATTTGGCCAACTTCCGGACCTGATGGCTCTGAGATCTTGGATACACGGTCCTCTCTTTCTATCTTATGGAAAAGGTAGGAAAAGTGGGGGTAACTAGCAGTCCAGAGGTATATAGTCAAAGGTTAGATGCATTCGCGCACTGCGGATGCACTTTCCTCTTTTATTCAATGATACCTGCTTTATGAACGGGCTTCCTGGGCACTTGGTTGCAAGTTGCCACAAGGAAATGATGTCCGCCAAAGTTTTGATGTGCCGCTATACTTGATATATTTCGTACGCGTATATTCAGCTAACCGTGGCTGGATCCGGCTCGAAAGACCAAAATGTTTATGCGTATGTGATGGGTGTTTGATAACAAAACATCACTTCGATAGCATAGTGAACTGTTACACTTTATTATGGATAAACGAGAGGTTATACATGTGTATCTCGAATTTTTGTTATTAACCGATAAATTGTTATTATTATTATTATTATTCCGCGCTAGCGCCCTCCTACGGTCTCTTTACATTGCTCGCGGAACATTTCGAGTATCAAACGGCGCGAAAACCAAATATTGTACGAATTTCAGTGACAGTATCTAAAAATCGCAAGGAAACACTCAATTTTCTATATGTCTCTATTAAACACAAACGAATGCAATCAACAGCGACGCTATGAAAATTGTTTCGTATTTTCATAGCGTCGCTGGTTGGTCATTCCTTCAACTGCTAGAGACTCATAGCGCAATTTCAGATAGATAAGCGAAAATAAAAGGTATTCGCTTTATCCAGGGCGTCCATTTTGCCCAGGCTTCCCCTACATTCCAAATTTGATATAGATTTATATATTACATGCATGAAGAATCAAAATTATCTATTATATTATTTATTATTGGTTTTATATTTTATTTCTCATGTATAATGGATAAACAAATTGCTGGTTGCATTATCATATGTTAACGACATTATTATCGTATATAATCGAGTTAGAGTTTTATGTATGGTTTGCTCAATATATAGACGTTATTAATTACGTGACACATTTATAAAAAATATTTGGGAAGCAAACAAAATTTCCTAAAATATTATAATTTTATTATAACATATTGATAATTTTATGTTAATGCTGTGTATTTGTTTAATTTTTAATAATATTCTAAAATATTAATACTTAATTTTTTTATTGCTTGTTTATATTTTTAATTAAAAACCAATTAAACTTCTTGTTTATGTTTCACGTACAATTAGATATATTAAAAAAGTAACATATTTTAGGTCTTATATTATACTATGATGGCAATAATTAAAAATTATTGCTATATAGCAGCAATAATAATAGCAGCAATAATAACAAGATCAAAATTAATAATGTTTGTAAGATGAGATAGAACAACGAATAATATCCAATTACATACGATGATCTAGTAAACAATCCGAAAATTTATGAAGATAAACGGGTACTATACATCGAGCTAGACAATGCAAGATAAAAAATGGGTAGACTTGTCGCAGATAAATTATTCACTAGACAACGCTACATTGTTGAAGTTATCCAGGAGAGAGATTCTCCTTATTATAGAAAAATATGTAAAACAAACTAATCTTTTTTTCGCTTCGTAACTGCGCGATTCGCGAACACATTTTTTTATTTTTGAAATACCCTCTGATTTTTATCAAGTATCGCGATGATCTTAATTTCTTCTTATGCGTCAAGGTCCTTGCAACCGGGTTGCACTTTTATTATGTTATCTAGGAGCGGCGCGGTTTCGAGTGACACGCGAACCTATAATAGTGTGCAGCATAACGCTGGTGTCACATATAAAAATTTCATACAATATGAATTTTACAGAGTGTATCAAATGCCATGTTTCTTTTCTTAGAAACCGATACAAAAATTGATTTGCGATATTTTTCTTACTGTAATTTTCGATCTTAATTCTAATATTAATTCTAAGAGATTAATTGTACGATTATATTTGCTAATTTATGATTTAAAAGATACTGGTAATTCGGATGAATTTAAAGGAACAATAGTATTATTAGTGCATGTATTATATTTTTTAAGTGAAAAGTCAAAATATTATGAGAAATTTGCAGAACAAATAGCAAAAAGTATAGGACACAGGATATTTTTGAAAGTTACATTGCCGCATCTTACGATAGTGGTTTTTATAATTTGTCTCTTTATCTAGTTAATTTTTTAATTTTGTATTAAATAATGAAATGTTATTTCGAAATAAGAACATTTTTTAATAACTGCACCAGCAGCGGAGTTTCAAAAGAATAATGGTTATTACGAAAGCATAAAGAGAGATTGATGACGAAGTTAAAATACAATAAAGGTTAATTTAAAAGGATGGAATTAGGATAGGGCATTATCTGTTACATTGTTTTAACGGAATTGAAGCTGAGTTTCAAAGAGAAACTCAAAGAGACGCTCAAAATGACACGTTTGAATATAGAGCAGCATTAATCAAAATGCGAATTTAAAATACAAGAAATTTTATTGTAATTATCTATTAATGCAATTGTGAGCCGTTCGTGAATTTTATTACAGAACTGCTTCATGCGCGCACGTGTAAATCACGTAATTATTGTAAATTTTGACATTTGCAAATAATCAATACATATAATAATTAATATATCTATAACGAAAACTATGTTACTAAGACAACTATATTAAAGTTGAGTAGAAAACTATGTTTTAGTTACACTGAGAAACAAATGCTCTCTCTCTCTATTGAGTCAAGTTTATTAGTAGTTCTACTTAATCGAAATTAAATAAAGTTCATGAAATGTTATTTAACTGGAATTATTTTATTTAATTTCATTATAAAAATTTAAATTTAAATAAATATAATAATATTATGGCTCAATAATAATAAATAAAAATTAATCAACAACAAGGGCTACGAGACAAATTAAATATTAATTTTAATTATAAATCCCTTATATATAGTCTTAATCTACTTATTTTTGCTTCGATTATTATGTCTGGTTTAAAGGAGTTACAACGATCTTTGAGATTGTTTGTATGCTGTGTATTATATATTTTTGAAACGACAGAAGCAAAGCCATCACCCTTAAGATCCCAGTTTTTAGACCTATATTCTATTCTATGACGTCATTACAACTTGTATTGTAGAAGATTGTAACAGCAAATTAGATGGTCATCATAAAAAGGCAGTAAACAATTGGATAAGGATAAAATAAAATGCCATTATCGTAATGAGTCATTTAATATGATATAGTATTGATATATCTAGTCCATGACATGCTATTGGTTAACTTTGATTTTAATAAAAATGATTTGACTTCTTTGGCTGCTCCTTACATACATAATTCATATTAAAAGAAAGAGTTATTTTCATAAGAAGATGTTATATTTGTTTATTCGTTTGATTATTTGTGGAAACTAAGAAAAGAAAATAATTAGCAAGTATTATGAATAATTTCTTTTAAATTAATACATATATTCAGTAATTGCGAATTTGTTTGTTAGATCTTATTCGATGTTTTAGTTAGACAGTAGAAAATTAATAGAAAATAAATCTACAAGTTTAATTGCATTTATTTGAGGTTTTAATATGTGCAATGTGTATAGATTATGTTTAGCTAAATTTTTGTTTTATGTTTCGTTTTATGTTATTGCACAAACAAAATGAAAATTCTTTTTGAACAAGATTGTAACTCATACACGCGTATTGCGTACAGTGGTAGTACCGATAAATCTGCGGATTTTATTTCCAGATTGAAAAATGTGAAAGGTCATAGTGCGACGTTTTTGTTGGAGCATTGCTTTGTGATAACAATTAAGTTGCATATCGAATTTATTCACGTGCATTCCCAGCAACCTTTTGCTATGCGAACAATACGGAATGGATATTATTGATATCTATGCGCACTAGATGACAATATATTTAAACCGGATTCTAACAAGTTGCTTCCAATTAGTTGAAAAAATTATAAAACGCATTTAAACGTTTTTCGTGATCACAAATATTTTATTCAAAATAAATTTAACAAAAATAATTGACTAAGAATTAAAATAATAAAAATTCTTGGCTTTCTTTATCGTATTTGATGTATTCACACATACGGTCGTACTTAAAATTCTTAAAATAATAAATTTTTGCAGTACGATATTTTATTATTCTCATTTTTTTTTAATGGAAACATAGCGTTATTACAAGTATAATTAAGATCAAAACATTCTGGATTGTTTGTACGGGAGAAACGCAAAGGTCATACTTTACGTATATAATATTTCTCAGTGTTATCACCAACGATATCCGCAACGTGCACGGCGTGCAATAACGATCGCGGTAACGAATCAAGTATGCGTCGTACGTATCGCACGCTATTTCGGCTGGTATATTTAAAGCTTTAACTAGAGCGACACGGTTCGTGTAACCGAGTTATAATGTAAATCACTTCAG